TCACATATTACTTTACAACAAGGTTTTAAGTATGAAATCTGTAAAACGATTTATAAAACAAAAAGAGGTCTTATGTGTCACCAAAGAATTGTTCAAAAGTATAATATTCATCGTAAGGGGTTATATACATTACCTTCACAAGCAATCAATCAATTTAAAACAGATCTCGTTCACATTATAGGAAACAAACTCAAAGAGCATTATAGATGGTCGGGCAAACAAACTATCACATTTCCGTGTTTAGAAAGTTTATTTTTTGGGGTTTTTAAGGGTCACATACATTATTTTAATCGTAAAAATCGTAGCTATAAGTGTTTTTTTCACGGACCGGATGCATATTCACAGTTAGCTAGTTTATTTAACAATCAGAATTAGGGGCGCAAATTTTTTAACAACGATCAACAGACGTTTATTTTGTTGTTCGACGCACAACTTGAAAAAGCTAATTATAAAAAAAAAAAATCTGAATTACCAAGATTAGTAATCAAATGGAAAACAAAGAGCAAAAGAGATGCAAAAGGTAATCAGACTTCAGCAGGTTATCTACATTTGAGTTTTTATACTCAACAAATTTAGGGTTGCAGGATTTAGGTATTTTTTTTTTATTTTTTTTTTTATTTTGATGTATGAATTTATTACTAATGAAACTTTAATATCTTACGTCTATTATTAACATTGTTATAAGTTTGGATCCTTGTTTACATATAAAAAGAATGTATAATGTACAAAGATTCAAATAAAGTAATAGATATACGTTCAAATAGTTGATAATCAAAATTTCCAATTTATTTAAATCATTTCATCTGTATTTAATTTTAAGTGAGTCGCTATCTTACAAGTTGAATTAAATACTTAATTTACCTTTATAATTTCATTTATTAAGTCTAATAGGTTCGTTTTTCAAAAATCAAACCTTTATCAATTTACTTTACTTACGGTTAACTACTACCAAGATGTTTCACATTGTTATATGAACTAAGAATTTGGCCCTTTATTTTCTACACCCGAGGTTGGATAATGCACAAAAATTGATTATGATCACAGCAATTACATAATGGAATAGTTGGTTTATCTTGGCCATTTACTTCTCCTTCTCTAATCTTGCTACTTGGTCGTTAAAGTTTTGAAATCATTGGCTAACTTATTATATAAGTCTAATAAGTTAATAGCTTTGATATTACTTTAAAATATAGTATATTAATGAATAATTTAAATATCTATTTAGTGATTTGACCAGAGATGAGGCTTGCACCAAATAAAGCGAAAAGGTTTAATATTATTGCTTAGTTTTCTCTTTATACTATGTACAGCAGAAAAAATGAGCACGTCAGATCAGATAACAAAGAATTAACGTATAAAGCATATATATTAAGATAGCGAGACTTCATATACTGATCAAGTTGATGAATAAAGCGAAGAGGCTTGAGTCTGCTGGTGTGCAGCTTATTACAGGTTATAATGCGATTACCAAGTTAGTTATAGAGGCTGAATTATTATTGATTCCACTATTAGTAATTATAGCTAATAATAATTTTGTTTATTTTTTATAATATAGATTCGTCATTTAGAATATAGCTTGAATGGTGATCACACAAGCTAAGCTTTATTTTATGATCGAGATGGATTCTAACATAGGAAATATGTAAATATTATTATTGTATAATAAGTTCTGTCTATTAAAGTATTTTATAAAATTTCAATTTTGGTGAAGAATAAAGAATGAAATTTATTATATAATTTAAATCTTACATGCCAATGATAAAGAAGAAATTAAGGAAGTGAAGACCGGAGATGTGGTGGCTATTTACTTGGAGTCTATTATCACGGGATATTTTTTTTATTTGAAATAAACAAAATATAATAAATATGTCTATAGTTAATTTTTAAGTACTATATATGGCCAATTCTCAATGTATTTTAAGAATATTCACTTTATAACTATATTCCATTATTACCATTATAGATGTTAATCTTTTTATCTAAAGAATCAGTGTGAAAAACTATGCTTATCTAAATTCAATACTATATTCATGAGACATATTCTTGTGTTATCTCCGTCATATTCACGGATAACATTTTATATCTCGTATGTTCTAAAATTAATATAATGATGGTTAGACTTAGATGCGTAAAAATAGTAATACTATAGTAGACATGAGTGCTGCTAAGGAAAATGAGACTTCAGGTTTATCTACCAAATTTAACCCTACTGGTAATGTATATAATCTGTAAATAATAAATGATAAACTTGAAAGCCCGTAGTTGCATTTTTCTTGGTAGCAGCTAGTGATGTGCCGCGTATAGTACAGTACGCAAATTTTTTTTTAGAATTTTGCATATAGATAGTTTACATATCACACGTGTACTATACATATTACGCTATACACACGTACTGTACGCTAAAAAAATTTGGATATCATATAAATGGCACATCACTAGTAGCAGCACTCATATATGTATAGCAAAAACATAATAATGTACACTATTTCTTTACAAATAGTAAGAATATTTCACTTCGAAATTTTATTATAGCATTGTGTAAATACCATAATAACTATACAATGCTAATGAAGTGCAGAATAATACTGCGAATGATGCTAAAATGCATTAAAACTTACTGCTTCCCTTAAATCAATAAGTAAAGGGATATTTGTAACATCAAAATGAAATTAAAATTCTACATTTTCCTTAATATAAAAATATTGAGGTTTATAGACTTAATTAGAATTTGATTTTTGGGCAAAGTGTAATAACTGATTTTCATAACTGAGAATTTCGAAAATTGCAGACTTTCTGTCTGTGCCTTTACCACCGTCCTTCATTGTTTTCCTGAAAAAGATGGATACTTGGTCGTGGTTTTTTTTTCAACAGCGGCACATGAAAATGCAGCCAAACCGAAGCAATGATGTAATTCAATGAATTCTGGTATATGATTAATCAGGACGTGTATGTATGGTGTAACAACTTTGGGGCGATAAAGCCCTTTTTTAAAAGATGTGGTATTCGGTTCACTTTGGTGGGGTGTAAGGAATAAGTTGAACCATTTTCTTGCCTGGGTGGTGAAAAAAGTTGAATTGGTTTTTCGATCGTTTATAAGTTTGTAAAGTGAATAAAACTCTCTCCACAAGCGATTAATTAACATGGCTCTTTCTTCACTAAAAATGACTTCAAAATTAAAATCGCGCAAAATCTTTTCTTTATCACCTCCTATAAGAGGTGTGTAAGACCAACTCTGCATACTATGATCCGGCCAAAATTGAAATCCGACGGAGATTCTTTTCATTTCTATGCTTATAATTGCTCTAGTATAAGTATTGTATCTATTTTCAGATTTTAATTCTTGGATCACTAACTCCCAAAGCCTATCCTAAATTCTTAACATTATGTGAAGTTCATCAGGCATATAATTATTTAATGGTATCATAGGAAGAAGAGGAGGTTTAATATGTCCGGGTGGTGGTAAATTTAAAGTAGAAGTTGAATTATTAAAAAATTTTTCCTTAAGTTGATCCATGTCTTTTTCGATTCTATACACCTTGTCTTTATTGCCAATATCTTTCTTCGTGCATAGGCACCAAGGACAAAAAAAGTTAGCATTAGGCGCATTAAACCCTAATATAATAGCCATGAACTTCCAATCACTACTGAAGTATAATTGGACTTTCCATTTAATTCCACTAGAATCTTCTAGCCCATTAACCGTTAAGCTATGCAGTTCACTAATTAGTGATTTCATTACTTGTTGCAACATCTCATAGTCTTCACCTCCCGGATACAGAATTACGGTATTGTGTGAGTCAGCCTTGTGAATATTTGAAATGTCATCTAAAATAGTACATGTCATCATCACGTGCTTTATTTTTCTACCTACGTTACGGCCGTCTCCTAATATTTGGGATGGTAAAAAAAAACAACTTAAAGCATCTTTTCACTTATTTGAAACAGGTAATGATTAAAGTCTGAATGGTTAAAACTAGATTTAAATACATTACGGCGCATTTATAAAATAACCAAAATTTGAAAAATTTGACTGTTAATACGTAAATAGTAATTTTGTTAAGATAGTAAATTTATATGTCTAATGGAATGTGGGAAAATGGGTTAGGCGTATTGTTATTATAGATCGGGCGGGTGTGCCAATATTTAATATTAGAAAATCATTTTATCCCCAAAACTTAAATTTGGGCAAAAAATTAGTTAAATTTGACAAACGCGCCGTAATGACATTCAAATAATTATCACCCGTTTTTAAATACATAATAAAAAACATTTGTCATCCCACCTAATAAGCGAACATGAATTATTGGATTATTTATATTGAGAATATTTTGTTTAACGAGACTTGGAATTATGAAGAGCAAAATATCTGTAACTCGTCTGTATCCGGCTTTTCCAATGTATTTTAACATTTCCTCTTCGATTTCTTGGTCATTGATATGAGGTATTTCATTGGTTGTTATAAGAGATACATTCTTAGCACTTAAAATATTAATAGGAACTTTTTCATTCATTTCCTCATTTATTTTTTTTCTTGTGTCTGAAATGTTGTGATCTCGTGGTAATTCTGGTTGGAGTGCGGCTAATTTTCAGTAGGCGTCCCGTGAAATCGGACCTTGGTCAATAACTTTTACAAATGCATCAAAAGAGCTGGTTTTTTCTTTATTATGATAATTGGCCAAGTAGTCCTTATCTTGAACATGGAATCGAATTTCTTGTAAAACTGGTCGATCGATAGAATTAAAAAAATTAGGAACTTCATTTTTAAAAGCTTCGCCTAATTGTATAGAGAATGCGCGAGAACGCTTCGTTTTCATGGATTTACTCAATGTATTAAATGGTTTAAAAGAAGTTCGATTTTTTCTTTCACGTTCTCTTTCTATATCCGGAATATTAAGGCCAAATACATGTATACCAGATATTCTTGCGCGTGGATTATTTGGATTTTTTTTTACATAGAAATAAAATAAATTAGATAGATATATATTTATAATAAACATTTTTTAAAAAATTAAACGGACCCATAAATAGTTATTAGCTGCGGCACTTGGAGATTCTTTAGATTCTATAATATTTTGTTGAGAGTCTTCTTGAAATCTAATTCTAAAAATAGATCCATTTAACTCATACTTAATTTCACATTCTATTTTATGATTTGAGTTACATCTTCCCCAACTAGTTTGAACCAAATAGTTATCTGGAATTTTATATTTAATCCCATTGTGAGAACGCGCTGAAGTAAAACTTAGCTTATCCTTTGGTGGATAAATTCCTTCATTAATAATGTGATACTTGTAGATAGTATTATTTTGTTTAACTGAAAAAGGGTTATTCTCAGGATATTTATTTTGATTAAGAGACATCATGCATGCACTAAAAAGAATTTTTTTTGCTAAAACACGGAAACGCGATATAATTTATAGATCCAGGTTCCAGGTAATACAAAAAAAGTTAAATTAGAATTAGGTTAAGGTTTAATGTTTGTGTAATTTAGTTTAAATTACAACCAGTTTGTTTAGCCAGTTGGGTTGGCACGTCCAAAATATGTGACAGGTTAATTGACAAAAATTCTTTTTTATTTCAAAATTTTACCTATGAAACTGCTCTTCGTACTCTAAAGAAAAAAGTCCATATACATATAATTTTACAATATTTAGTATAAAATTAACCAAAACTTCTTTCAAACACTTCTTAAGCTAACTCTAAATTAACATTAATATAAGCCGATGTTAATCAATTAGTCATATAAACCTGTTACACATTACGTATAATCACATGCTTTTTTTTTTTAGTATTTATAGATAATCAACCAACGCAAATCTGTTTAATCATTTGTGAGGAGATTTTTATTCACTTTACAAGCTTATGAATGGTCGAAAAACCAATTTAGCTCCTTACTAGTCACATACTGCTTCCCGTGGCTGGACAACGCTACCAGTATATGTTAGAGTGCCATCGAGCTCACTATAATTTTATTTTATTTTTTTAGTTATTAATCTTTGATTCGTGCGACAAAATTCAAGACTCAGATTATATGATTTACTATCTGGAATTTCTTTTTTTTTTTTTTAAGCGAATTCCACGCATCAAGTATTTCATTAATCTTGTATTTATTTACAATTTGATACAATGCATACTCATTTCTTTGAATTTAAGGGTGTTAACGTAACCTATTATTTTACAGGAGTAAATTCAGAAAACTTACTAGTTCAGGTCTTTCTACATTTTAAATGTGCTTTTAATTAATACACACAATTATTCGATTTACTTACGTGTTTACTTCAATAGTGAAAATAGAGAGAAGTCTGGATCATTAAATCTCTTTTGACTTGGAGTGGTAAAATTTGGAGAATCGGAAGAGTGGCAGAAGGTGCAATAATAGGGGGTTTCAAAGTTCAGAAGTTAAAATCAGAGTGTCTTATTTTATTTTTCCGATTTATAACTCAACATAGTAAAAATGTTATTGAAAAATCCTATTTATTTTACTTATTTGTTAACTTTGAAACCCCCAATATTATTAATTTAATGTTGTAATTTGAAATTAATTCATTAATTTACTCTATTTCACATAAAAGTTAGAAAGGTCAGGCGCAAACAATTTATTTATCAAAAGTGTGCAGATACGGGAGATCTTGATAGAACGTTTCAAGCTGGTGCTTACTACAGAGATAGATTTAGGGTTGAAAAGAATGAAAGTAAATCATTCATTTATTTTTAAATTTCTGTCGTGATGGGTTATGTTCTTATAGCGAATATGGCTGGATTCGAAACTAAGTATGATAAACGTAAGGCATTTATTTATTTTCAAAGATCCATGAGATAAAATTTGGTAAGGAACAATTGAAATTGGTCATTACAAAAGTGAAAACAGAACTAAAAAAGTATATTTATTCGTGAGACATCTACAGGAAGTCGACAATTCCATTTATCTTGCCTCTTTTCAAGATGTGATATCGGAGGGTATTTGCGTTATCTTAGATCTAAATACTACCGTTTTGAATTAACTTATCGTCAAGCTGCCTCTATATCATGAACATTACTTCTTATAACTGGTAGGACATCTGTCAATTTTTTTATCATAGAGTTGTTAGGATGTTTAGATCAATTACTAATAATACTGTAATATCTATGTTAGCTAGGTTAATTTTCACGTTTTACAAATAATACTTTATTATATATACGTGGCTTTTTATTCTTTAAAATAAAGCACATTTATATGATAAATAACATAAAGCTATAATACACTACATACATAATGTGAATGGGTATTTGATAAATAAAAATAAAGTAGCTTACACAAGATACCCAGATACTTTGCATTGTGTTTTAAAGTAGCACTTTCTAAAGATAACCGAGATCTCTAACTCTATCTATTAGTATTAAAAATGAATAAATTAAATGACTTAATTTGAACAAGAAATATACTTTATCGCTCTATAAAGTATAATAAGATATTATCGTGCATTAAGTTAAGTGTAGATCACAAGCGAATATAGCGAAACCTATTTTTTGCTTTAAAAAAAGATAACAGATAATCATTTAAGCTTTTTATTGTGTTCATAAAACAATATTACGTAAAAATCATATTTTGACTTATATTCACCTGAAACTACCTTTACCATTAAACCGTGTCGCTGAGCGAAATCCCCCTTTACCTTTTGAATCTTTTGAATATTGTCTACAAAAGGAATCGCACAATATTTATTTCTGTGCCCATTCTTGTGTTGTTTCTGAGGGTCTTATATTCTACACAAAGCTGGAAACATGTTATAACGGCTACAATTTTTGTTAGTTAGTGATGTCTTATAAGGTTAAAGTCAATATTACAGAAGTATATATGAGTGTCGTCAAAAGAAAACCCGACAATTTAAATATAGACTATATTTAAATTGTCGGGTTTTCTTTTGACGACACTCATATCTGATATAGCGATAGTAAATCTGCACATATGATTGACGTCAACTGGCTGACGCACTTTGCATATTTGTATAACAAAATTTTGGAGTGCGACAGTGATCTACATTAATTCCACAAATCCGCGCATATGATTACTTCACTTTGCTTAAAAAAATGCACTGATTGTCAATTGTCTATGATTGTCCAACACAAAAGCATTATCCCTAATGTTAATAATTATCTGGTTCAATTTTCTAATACATGTCTAATATGCAGTAAGTTATTCTACGATTACTTTACAGCAATTTTTAATAAGTTAAATTTTACCAAATCGCATATTTACCCATTGTACAATAAATTATTTAATGATTACACAGAATTAATACACTATTTGGTCGATTTCTGATGAATTTTTTTTAATTTTGCAAGTGATTCATTATACTATATTATTTATTAAACGATAAATTGAACAGAATCATTGCCTTTCTATTAATTCTAATGCCATAAATTGATATATTCTATTGCTTCGTCTTCATAATATGTATCTCCCTCATGGTCTTGATTATTCAAGTCACCATCTTCATTTGAGCCATTTTCGTTATTATCCTCACAACTATTATCATTTCTGTTTTCTTCACCACTGCCATCATCATCTTCGTTATTATTATCATTATTATCGTAGTCACCACCTTCATTTGAGCCATTTTCATTATCATCATCATTTCTGTTTTCTTCGCCCAAGCTATCACTACTACCATCATTTTCATTATTATTATCGTCATTATTGTTTAGGGTCAAATCTATAATACTTTCACTATTACTTGCATTGTCTACATTGACGTAGATATAATTACTATTATTATTTCGAGACTCTGGATTAGTCACCCAATTATAATCAAACATTACATCCTCTTCGGACCCATTTTGAGCAATAGAAATGCCATAACACTTAAATGACCGTTTGATAAGTTTAGGATTGACTTGGTCCTATGCTAGTTTTATCCATTTTGCCACCAAATTATAAGCGGGTCGTTGAATACAACCTTTCGGGGTTAGTTTCTTGATTTCTTTACCCATCCAATTGAGATAGTATTTGTGATACTTAAATACAATATTGTATAAATTATGATGTAAGTTGTGTAACAAATTTTTTTTTTATATATATGTATATATATATATTCTACTATTACCTTGTCTTTAAAAGACTTATTAATATATATATCTAACGGTTGCAATTTCTTAGTGAGCCCACCTGGAACAACTGCAAAATTAGTATTTTTCTCATTAAACCAGTTTTTGACCAGATCTGTAAGATGACCACTAAATGAATCCATAACCAGTAATGAACAAGGATTAGTAGACAAGCGAGCTTAACGATTCCAAACATTTTCAATCCAGTAAATCATTTCGTCAGAATTCATATACCCTTGCAAATTGGTTTGTATAACAATGTCTGATGGGAATATTTGTCTTGGTACATTGACTAACTTAAAAATTACCATGGGGGCCAATTTTGTTCCATCCGCTAAACAGCTTAAAACAACCGTAAAGTTAGATTTTTCATACCCAGTATATGAATCCCAACAGTATGAGCACCAGTTTCTTCAATTGTATAACTGCTGGGCACATCAAACGCTAATGGAGTCTCATCCATATTTCTGATAAGCGAGAGAGAGTAATTGTGACACATACAATAAAATAATACAAAATTCAAGAATTCATTTCTCAGAGGTTCCAAATCTTCTTGCAACTTCTGTGCAACAGTAGTATGACATCTATTACTAAATTTATTTTGACGCATAAAGCCTAAATCCATTTGTTACTTCACTTGCACTCATTGATCTTTGGATAAATTGAAGTAAAACATGATTCTTTTGCGAGTTGCTTTGCTTTAGTTCTGACCATATTTTGAGTTACAACTTTTTGAAATGAACGTAAAGATCTAATCCAAGTTTTAAGCTCACTTTCCAAAAGCAGATATTTAGGGCGCGAGCTAATATTTAACCGTCTAACAAAAGGTGAAGCAATTTCTAATTCTTTTTTTTTAATCCACTCACGCAATTGTTTTGGTGTTATATTAAATGTTTCTGCAGTGTGCCGTTTGCTTGCCGTAAGATTTTTTTCAAGATACGTAATAATAGCTAACTTTTCATGCGCATTCCAACTTCTTTTTTTTTTCTTAGTAATTGTTGCTTGTTTTAGATTTGCTCTATTTCGTCCCATTTTTAAT